GCAACCTATGGTCTACAAGACAAATCCAGCCCAGCACCTGTTTTTTTGTACAGCCTGTGAGCTAAGCATAATTTTTACATTTTTAAATGGTTGGGAAAATGTAATAACATTTCACCACTTGTGAGACATATAAAATTCAATTGTCAGTTTCCATAAATAAATTTTTATTGGAACAAAGTCACATCTATTATGTTTACATTTAGTCAAAGGTGGTTGTTTTAACACAGCCTCATTGACATATGAGTCAAACACCTTAAATTCCACCTAGATTGGATAATTCAATGGTTTATAGCATATTCAGAGTTGCACAATCACTACCAGTAATTTCAGAACATTTTCATCAATCCAAAAACAGGCCTTTCTATCCTCCCTTGAGTTAGCATATCCCCCATCCCTGTACCCCCTTTCCCCAACCCTAAGCAATCACCAGTCTACTGTCCATCTTACAGATATCCCAATTCTACACTTGCACTTGAATGGAATGATGTGTGCCCTGTGTGACTGGCTTCTTTGACTTGGCACAATGTTTATAAGGCTCTTCCATGTTGCAATGCATACTAATATTTCATACCAAATAATATCCCATTGTATTAGATAAACATATTGTATAGATAAACATATTTTGTTTAACTATAAATCAGCTGACGGGCATTCGGATTGTTTCTACCACTTGGTGACAATGAATGATGTTGCTGTAAACATTTTGCTTACAAGTTTCTCTGTAGACATATTTTCATTTCTCTTGAGTGGATACCTAAGAGTAGAATGTAGTAACTCTAACTATTTGAGGAAAAGCCAGACTTTTCAAAAGTGGCTGCACCATTTTACAGTCTACCAGCAGTGTAAGATTCTGATTTGTCCACATTCTCACCAACACTTGTTACTATTTGCCTTTTTAAATCTAGTTACCCTACTGGTTGGCTCTCATCACAGTAAAGTAATATCTCACTGTTTTCGATTAGCAATTCCCTGGTGACTAATGATGTTCAGCATCTTTTCCTATGTTTCTTGGCCATCTCTGTACTTTACTTGGAGAAATGTCCATTCAAATCCTTTGCCCATTTTTTAATTGGGTTATTTGACTTTTTACTACTGAGCTATTTTTAATGTAGTTTAGGTAGCATAAGACCTTTTTCAGATACATGAGTTGCTAGGATTTTTTCTTTTCACTTTTTTGATGGCCCCTCAAACACAAGTTTTTAATCTTGATAAAGTCCAGCTATTGTATCTTACCTTTTGTCCCTCATTCTTTGTGTCATAGTTAAGAATTTCATGCCAAATCCAAAGTCTTGAAGACGTATCACTATGTTTCCTTCTAAAAGTGTTAGAGTTTTAGTTCTTACATTCATTTCTGTGATCCACTTTAAGTTCTGGTTCAACTTCATTTTTACATCTGTCTGTCCATTTGTCTCAGTTCAATTTGTTAATAATTATCAAGTACTGGCCCTCCCTGGTGGCATAGCGGGTTAAAGCACAGCATTGAGAAGCTAAAGCCACTTCTGCATGAGTTCGATCCCTGCCTGCCCCGGAGGTGACCACCTGGCGCGGCAGACCTCTCCTGACCCGCCCGCTGCTCCCCTCAGCAGTGTGCTTCGTCCATCTGCCTGTTCTGCTCCCCACTCTGTCTCTGGTGAATCCTCTCACCCTCTGCATCTCTGGCCTGTACCCCAGTTCTGTATGAATAAATAAATCTTTAAAAAAATAATAATAATTATCAAGTACTCATTCAACCCTCTCTGCCCCACTCCACTGAATAGTCTTCAAAAGATATATGTGTTTGTTTCAATTCTATTCCACTCATCTATATGCTTGCATTTATGCTATAATATATTGTCTTGATTATGGTTATTTTGTAGTAAGTTTTGAAATCAGGAAGTATGCATCTTCCTAATTTGTTCTCCAAGTTTAACTATTTTGGATAACTTGGAATTCAATATGAATTTTACAATCGGCCTGTCAAATTCTACAGACATAAACTGGGATTCTAATAGGGATACATTAAATATGCAGATCAAGTTAGGGAATACTGCCCATGTAACAATGTTAAGTCTTATAACCCCTGACCAAAGGATGTTTTTCTATTTATTTAAATCACCTTTAATTTTCTCAATGTTTCATAATTTTCAGAGTAAAGTTTTGTATTTCTTTCGTTAAATTTCTAGCATTTACACTTTCTGATGCTATAGAAAATAATTTTTTTATGATTTAGAGTTGAGGTTTATTAAAGCAGCACATACAACTGTACATCTGAATTATGTAAAAAGTCTTACACATACTTTTTTTTTATTGAAATACAATGAACATACATTATTTTAGTTTCAGGAATAAATACAACATAATGAGTCTACATTTATATACATTACAAGATGATCTTTACATTAAGCCAATTACCATTTTTTCTTAGTGACTTTCAAATTTTCACTAGCTCTTTGACTTATTTTGTATCTGGAAATTTGTACCTCTCACTCCTCTTCATCCATTTCACATATAACCCCAACTCTCTTCCCCTCTGGGAACTACCTAGAATCAATTTTTTTGTCTCTATCATTTTAATTTAAGGGGCCCTCCCTGGTCGTGCAACAAGTTAAAGCGCAGTACTACAAAGCTATCAGCAGCTGTATAAACCTTTTTATTTCGAAGTAGTTCCACTTACTCACTTTTACTTCTGTTGCATGGTATCAAATTCAAGAGATCATTGCTGAACAGTATTTTCTTCTAGTTTTATAGTTCAGTTTTTACATTTAAATCTTTAATCCATTTTAGGTTAATTTTTGTATATGGTATACATTAGTGGCCTAGTTTCATTCTTTTGCTTGTGGCTGTCCAGTTTTCCCAACACCATTTATTGAAAGGATGGTCACTTCCCCACTGTACAATCTTAGCTCTTTTATCATTAATTAATTTACATGAGCTTATTTAATTAATTCACAAGTCTGTTCCTTTGAATTACCAGTCTGTTTTTATACAAATACCATATAGTTTTAATTATTGTAGCCTTATGATGTAGTTTGAAATCAAGTAAGATAATACCTTTATTCGCACTTTCCTTTACTTCTTTAATCACACTTTAATTTAATGAACATATTTAAAATGACTACTTTGAAACTTTTTCACTGTATCTGACATCTGGTGACAATTTCTGTTGCTAGCTTTTTTTCCATTATGATCAGGCATCAATGAAGGATGTTTTGGTCATCAATAGACTGCATATACTATGGCAGTCCCAAAAGTTTATACCATAAAGCCTAGGTGTGTAGTAAGGAATACCATCCAGGTTTGGTTAATTACATTGTGGTGTCTGCACAACAAAATCTCCTACCATTTCTCCATGTTGATATCCTTAATCACATATGACTGTATATGGGTAATAATTTCCTTTTTTTTCTTTGTATTTTCCTACTTTTTTCCTGGAAACTAGACATTTTAGATAATAATATAGCGACTCAAAGGCTGGTCATCCCCCAACCATCTTCCAGGGCTTGTTATTATCACTGGCTTGTTTGTTCTGTAATTGGCTGCCTAGTTTTGGTGAACTCTATTTCCTCATAGTGTTAACACCTCAAGGAGTTGCAGCTATTGGTATGCCCACTGTAACTCTTGATGAGAGGAGTTTTAGTAGGGCTCTCTTCTTTCCCAAATCACACCTAGCTGTTAAATTTCCCTAACTGTGGTATATCCTTCTATTAGTTCCAACAATAACCTGAGGCATTACATGTTCTACAGGCAGGGAATCCAATCAAATGGTACCTCTTTTGAGGAAACTATTACCAAGATCAGTGATATTTCTTCTGACCTGCAATGCTCTTCCAGCTGTCTTAGTCTCCCATTGTCTCCTGCAAATTAACTGGCCCACAGTCCAAACTCTGCCTTGATTAAATCTAAAATCTCCCAATTGCTTATGACCAAAATCTCCACTGTTCTAGAGCATAACCCAAGGCATAAACTCTTCACACACACTTGGAGGAAGAGGTTAGGAGCAAAGGATTTTCAACCCTGCTTCTCCCTCGAGGAAACATCTCTGAATCTTCAGAGAAGTAGGGACAGGGAACACCTAGGGCTGAAATCTTCCTGTCTGAGAGTGCTTTTGGGCAACAATGATAAAGCTGAAGAGTTGAGTAGTTACAACCAAGACTCCACAGCCTGCAAAGCAGAAAAAGTTTACAGAAAAAGTTTGCCAGTACCTGACTTAGATCACTGCTGTCAATACTCTTGGGCCACAGAGCACACTCTGAGAAGCAAAGAACTAAACTGATTGAAAGGCAGTATTGTATTGGTTAGGAGCTTAACTCAGAGCCTCACTGTGCCATTCACTGCATACATGTTTTTTTCTGAGAATTAAAAGTATGCATGCCTGGAACTTCAAAAAGTATTCAACAAATAACTGTTTTAATCATGATAGAAAGTGTATGAAGAATAAGTAAAGACAGCTTCTATATCCTAATATTTATATATCTTCCTAATGTATATGTGTGTGTGTATAGATATATAGATAGATATAGATATACTCCCCTCCGTTCCCCCACTCCCCGAAAATTTAAGCTATGGAAATGGGAAACAAGTATATACTTTCCAACAAACAAGATGCATCTTTCAAACCCTGGGATACATAATAATGTCTAAATCAAAACTCTACAGTGTTGGCGCTAAGTCTTCCACTAAAACCAGAATTCACTGCCACAGATGCTTCAGCCTATTCCAGTAACAATGAATGAAACCTGCATGAAGTGCTTTCAAACCCAAAAGTTCTATGGGGGTAGAGGGAGGGAAGCAGCAATTAGGTTTAACCTGAGGGTTTGGGCCTAGATGACTCCTTCCGGTTCTGACCGTCTCTGTTTATGCCCAGAGATGATCTAAAATTAATCCCTCCAGCTTCCACCTCAACTGTCAGCGCGGTATGGGAGCCCAGGTCAGTGCCCAACCCGCACAAGCATGCGGCGGGCGGGCTGGGATTGCGCCGGGCTCGCCCTCACCGCCGCCCGTCCGGGATGCCGGCCGGTTACCTCGCAATTGAACTCCATCTCGGCGTCCATGGTGACGATCCGCACGGTGAACGTCTTGGGCTGCTTCCTCTTCAGTGAGCTGAAGCTCATGCGGGAAGCAATGGCTCCGGCCATGACGCGGGGCTCAGGCCGAGGACCCACACTCCGAGGCCTGTGATCTGGGCTTCTTAGCCCCCCTGAAGGAGCCGCACAGGCCTCAGGGCCACCATGGTGACCGGCCGGCCCGAAACCTTTCTAGGCGGCGATGGCCCCCATCGGCCAGCACGGGCCGCGAGGACACCGCGGAAAGGTAGGGGGGGGGGGCGGGTCCTGATGGTCACTGGGAAGAACCAGAGCGGGGACCGACGGGGCGGGCACGGCCCGGCGCTCCGGGACTCGAGCCTGGGACGCAGGGGACTCCCGGGCGCCGGGCCCCTAGACGGCGCCCGCCCACACCCCGCGCGCCTCTCAGCGGCCGACAGAGGTCTCAGGGCCGCGCTCCAGCCGGGCGGGCACGTGCGCGCGTGGCTGTCACCGTCCCTGCTCGGCGCGCCCGCGAGAAGGGTCCCCTCCCCGCAGCCCCCGGCTCGCTCCCCGCCCCGCCCTCGGGCCCTCGAGATACTACACACAGCTCAACCTAACATGGCCAAGCAGGCCCGGACGCTGCGGTTGGCTGAGGACGCCGAAGGAGGCAAACTTTCCAGCTGCGTCCCGCCTTCTTGGGAACAACTTCGCCAATTGCAAGTTCCTGGCTACCTGGCGGCGCGGGCCTGGAATCGGCACTGAGAGGCTAAAACGGCAGTCACTCCGAGCGCTTTTGTTCCGAAGGCGACGCCTACTCTAGCAGGACTGGTTGAGATGGCAGAAACCGGCTCGCCTATCCCGGGAAACCACGGTCACTGGCCCCGCGGCGCGGGAGGGCGCCGGGTCCCTCCCGGGTCCAAGTACAAGCCAGGTGCCCAGCCCTTGGGGATCGTGCTTCGGATCCCGGTGGACATTCCTGGTTGGCATATAGTCACCAATACTTCTCTGTGTTTCTCCAAGTTTTAAATCCTTTGTGGAGGCTGCTGAGGTTGGCAACACTCCCCAAGGTCTTTCTACTTCTAGTTAGAATACCGAGGTGGAGGGGTCATCACTGTACCTTTCTCGTGGGGTTGTTGAGGAATTTAAGCTGTCGACACAGCTTTAGAATGGTGAGTGACACATACGAGATTGAATTCTCTGAAACGGCTGTCTTTCTAAATTAAAAAAAAAGGTCCAAAATAAAGGCATTTTTCATTTTGTACTCCATGTGTGATTTCCAATTTCAAGCCATCTGTGTGTATGTTTTTAATTGTTTTTAATTACTTTTACATACAATATCTGGGTTGTAGGGCAGAGGTGCAGGGGTGACAAGACCCACCAAAGATAGAGTGGAGAGCAGAACACACGGATCACTGAGGGACACTGCTGAGGGAACAGCCAGCTGTACTGGAGAGGTCTGCTGCACCTTGTGGATCAGTTCCCTGGCCTGAGATAGCTTGGTAGTGCTGAGACTTTAACCCCTGTGCCACCAGGGAGGCCCCTATCTGTGTTTTGTTTTTAATGTCAGTTTATAAGTGGGGAGGGTTGCAACTTAAAAAAAAATTGTAGTTTTAGAAATTAAGTTTGTTTTTAAATAACTGAGTAGTTCACTAGAGAAAAGCTCATGTTTTAACTCATGCATGTTAACAATTATTACAACAGATTCACCCTCACTCTACAGATGAAGGAACTGAAAGGCCCAGCATGAGACACTTGATGATCAGCATAGAGTAGTGGGAGACAAGGCCCCCAGCTCCAACCCAGCTCAGTCCCTCCCACAGCCTGCCAACGTCAAGGCTACTCTGCCTACTTCCCTGCTTGTGACTTCTAAATTGGCCCCTGTTGCAGCCCAAGAACCGTGAATTATAGTTCTGGAGCACTCAGCAGACACAGTTGCTACAACTATACTAATAGCATAAATCTAGCTCCCCACAGGCTCCTGTGGTGCCAGGAAGTGCCAACCAGGTCCCAGGAATCATTTACTGGCACACCCAGGGAGGCTGCAATGAGGAGACTTTATGTCCTGCCTACTGCTGGCAAATTTTCCCCATCAAACTGATTCTTTAGGGCAGTGTGGGCTTGGTGTGGGAGTGTCTTTATTTTCACTACTTCAGTTCTTCCCTGCAGGTGGGAGAACCAGAACCATACTCCTAGGGGCACCCTACAGAGACCACAAATCAGGGGGTTAACCCAGGCCAAGACTGCTATCAGAAAATGAGTGACTCTGGAGGAAAAAATCCAAAAAAAAAAAAAAGTGACTTTGGAAACCTACTGAGTAGCAAGAGGAGGTGGATGGAAGGACAAAGCTAAAAATGAAATTGATGACCAGTAATAGCTTTTTTTATTATTATTATTTTAAACTTTACTAGGAGCTGGTCTACTGAGCTAACTGGCTACAAGTCAATGAATTATCAGCAGCCACCTGAAGCTGGAAGAAGCAAGGAAAATATTTTTTCCTAAAGCCACTGGAGGAAAAACCACCCTGCTGATACTGTCATTTTAACTTCGTGAAAGGAATGTCTAGAACTATGAATGAATCCACTTCTGTTATTTTAAGCTACCAAATTTGTGGTAGTTCGTTACAATGGCATTAAGATATGAGCACAGTAGGAATTCTGTAAACACCCATGAAATGAATAAGGGAGCGATATACAGAAACCTTATTCAGTTAACTGATACATGAAGTGAGGACTTGATGATGTACCTGGTTCAAGTGTACTGTACCTGTTTATTGAGAGAAGCCCAACACTGTCACTATCCAGTGGTTTTCACCCCAAATGCTTAGTAACACAAATGGAGGCAGGGGTGGGGGACACTCGGGTTGTGAGGCCTCTCATGTGTGTCAGTTCCTCAGGAGATTCCAAAGTGAGTCACCTCCTAAACCAGGTTTTGCATAATCGTTGGCTGGCCCATCCACCTCACGACTGCCAAGGACTTAATTAGCGGCTTCAACGTTGGCAAAGTACAATTGACCCCTGAGCTGTGTGGCGGTTAGGGTCGCCGACAACGGGCCACCCTACCGATACAAAAATGCCCGGGGGCCCAGATCCCTTAGAGCCGGCCCTCTGTCTCTGCTGGTGCCCCCCTTCACGGACTCCCGCACGTTTAATCAGTTAGCCTACCGTCTAGTACCTACTATGCTTTCTATAAAAATGCGCTCCACCGGCCACCAATATCATTTTTAGCAAGGGCGTACCCGAGTGCCCGAGACTGTCACTGTCCTCGCTCCCCACGTCCTCGCGTCCCCAGATGGTTACAGGGCACCCCAGTGTGAACTGGGCATCCTTCCTCTTAACAGGATCACTAGACACACCTCAACCTACCCAGACGGATCCGCACAGGTTAGAAGAGAACTTGGAGGGGGCGGGCTTTTCCGCTCCGTCCCGCCTTTTTTCATGACTCCGCCAATTGGAAGTTCCTCACTAGCTGGAGGCGGGGCCTATGCTGGCGTTGAATGGCTACAGCGGCAGTCACTCCAAGCTCTCTTTCCTTTCCTCTAGCAAGACTGGTTGAGGCGGCAGAGACCCGCGCCTATATCCCGGGCAACCACTAGTGGCCGGTGCCAATGCTGCGGAGAGCGCAGGAGTCCGCTCCTACCCGGCCGGCGACACACTTCCCTTTGGGCCAGATACAAGTCTAGTGCAACGCCCCAGCGATCGTGTTTCTGACACCCAGAAGATATTACAGTTAGATACTTAATTGCAAACACTGACCTCTACCTCAAATTTTAAATTCATAGAGGTTTAGGTTGCAAACACTTTTTTGAATTCTTCTGCTTCTCTTTAGAGGAAATGTTATTACATGGTAAGGGGTAATAACTGTACCTACCACGTGGGGCTGGTGAGGAGTGTAATCGAGTTAATACACAAAAAGCTTCAGCTCAGTGCCTGACACATACTGAATCCTAGGGCAAGTTAGGCAGCTTCAAGGGCAGTGCACTCAGGGACTTAGGGAGAGTTAAGGGAGGCTCCGGGGATAAGGGCAACAAATTCCAAGGCGCTAATCAAACACCTCGGACTAGGGGCAATGGGGCATTCCAGAACAAGGATGATAAAGGAAAGTATGTTAAGATAAGGGCTGGGACACGGAGACTTAGTGCTGGGCACAGGGACATGAAGACAGTGGGGGAGACCCCTCAGCACTAACGGATCACAGAGACTGGTGGCACTTCAGAATAATTAAGGAAAGAAGGTCCATATTCCCTGAGACACGACTCCACTTCTGCTCCCCTGCTCCTCTCTGGCCTGGTTCCACCGGCCTGGGAGTCCACTTTATTTCCATTCCTTTTCTTCTCAATAATCTTTTTCTTTCTCTAAACAAATCTGCCTCTTCTTGCTTGCTTGCCTGAGCGTCTGCTTAGTTCCTGCTGCGGCTTCGTGGGACACCAGCCTATGGTGGTCCAGTGGCCGAGACTCAGCGCTGACCCTGCAGCCTGGGGTACGCTTCTGGCTGGGAGACTCAACATTAAAACCTGAAATTATGGTATCAACATTAGGCTGAATCCTGTGAAACTGCTGTTTTGGTAGATTAAAAAAAAAATGGATGCCGTGTCCAGAATCTAAATAGATCCAATGGATCTACAAGGCAGGGTGAGTGGCACCCTAGTGCCCCCTAACCTGACCACTCTAAATAGGTTCTGCCATCCACATCCACTGCATAAAGATAAAACATACTTTGGTGTATAAAACCTATAATGGAAAGAAACTTTAATGCAATTAGTGTGCAGTGAAGAGAAAGGAGAGAATGAATAAAATAGTTTTCAGATCAAGCATCCAAAGTTACCCACCCCATTGTGGGTAAATGCCCAGCATAACATGGTTGGCCCAAGCCAGGACCACTGAGGCCAGAAAGCCTGCCACAGTCTAAGCCATCTTCTGCTGGGGACCCATGGGAAGGGGGCAGAAAGGGACAGGCAAGTTTGGAAAGAAAAAAACAAAATCAAAACCAAAGTCAGGGTAAAAGCTGCCATTGTCAGCCTCCCCATGGGTCTCTCACCCATGTCTGTTTTAACCAGTCTAGGACCAAGAAGCAAGTGAAATTTCTTCATATGTCTCTCTGTTCCATGTGCCTCCTCTGGTCTCCTTCTGGCTTTCCATCCTTCTCCCTTCCTTTGTCTAGTTTCCTCCCCAGCTTCTCCCAATCCCCCTGCTCAGCTCCACCCTTCCTTGGGTGGGGCAGGGCACCTGGAACCTCCCCTTTCCCTGGGGACCACCCTATTACAAGCTAGCATTAAAAATAGATTCACAAAGACTGAACAAAGATAATGTTCCCTACCAGATAAGGGTCTGAGAAAGAATAATTGAGCTAGAGATGGCTAAGACCTGGCACACAGTTACCAGTTAATAACTATCTGTTGAATAAATTAGTGAAGGACATGAGGAAATACCTAGGATCTTAACTATGGGAACAATATTAATGGATCACCCTCTCCCCACCGCCCCACTTCCTGTCCCTGGGAGGAAAGAATTCAACCTCCAGACCAGCATTAGGTAGAAC